CGCTACGGAACGCTGAATTCAAACCTACTTTCGGTATCTGCAAAGCGCTTCTGGGAGGGGAATGGAAATTTTTTGATGCAAGGATTTGGAAGCGCAGCTACAATAAAATCATTCGGAACCTTAGTTCGTGAGTTCAAATGGGGCCATGATTGCTACTAGGGCGTTTTATAGAATAACGCCTTCAATCTAATAAACTCATGTCAATCACTACTCCTTTCAAGCGCCGAAAAGACCTCAACACCTATTTTTATCTTAGCCAAATTATTGGATTTCTACCTCAAAAAATCTTCATAACTTTCGAAGTCCGAAGCGTTCAGTTTGATCCGAGCACTGTAGTCGAGTCATTCGATGTGACTTCGCTCTACACTAATGTGCAGAATGAGCAAGCCTTGCAAGCGCTATCGGAATTGTTGGATAAACATGCAACTACCATCAATACTTTTGGGCTTGGCAAAAGGCGGACTATGACCCTGATAAGCGAATGTTTGAAGTGCAACATCTTTAGATGGTCTGGGACTTACTACGCCCAGATACGCGGATTAGCTATGGGTCAGAGGTTGGCGCCGGTTCTCGCCATTTGTTTTATGAGTAAGATCGAAGAACCAGTGCTAGCCCGCATGCCGCTGATGTACTGCCGATATATCGATGACTGCTGTATATTTACATCAACACAGTCCGAAATGGACAAGTGTTTCGAAATTTTGAACCAGCAGTCGCAGTACATAAAGCTCACACGAGAAACACCACACGACGGATGGCTGCCTTACCTCAACGCGCAAGTAAGATTATCCAATGGTATTGTTAGCATGAAATGGTACTGCAAAGAAAGCTCGAAGAACATCTTTTTGAATGTGAAATCAGCGCATCCTGCATCTACGAAAAGAGCGGTGATCAAGAATATGTTTGAAACGGCTATGCAGATGTGCTCCGGAGAAAGAGAACGATGCGAGTCGCGAGATCTGGCCTCCAAGATTGCTTGCAGCAATGGTTATCATTCCTTGCCACATGATCAACATCAGGCGAATGGTAACAAAATCCGTGATAATAAGCTCCCACTGTGCCTTCCATTTATTTCCGATAACATCAGTGCGGCATTTCGAAAATGCATTTCACGTGCACAACTGCAAAACGATATTGTTTTAGTCGACATCCCAGGTGACAATATCAAAACGCAGTTAGTTCGAAACAGACTTTACGATCGATACTGTACAACAAATCGATGCGTAGTCTGTCCGCACGGCAAAATAGGTGATTGTGCACAAATGGGAGTGGTTTATCAGTTAGAATGTCTTAGCTGCAATGCCATCTATATCGGAGAAACTGGCAGAACACTTAGTACTCGCGTAAAAGAACATCTTGCAGATAAAAGGCGTAAAACATTGTTTTCACCTCTGGGTAAACATAGCCACGATTCGCATGGCGGAGACGATTTTGATATCAAATGCCAAATCTTGGCACACGAAAAGGAAACCTCGGCGAGGAAGGCGTTAGAAGCATTCTGGATTTCTGCGAAGAATCCAGCAATGAACAGTAAAAATGAGCGTTTGTCAATTACCACGGACTTCCTACCCTTCATATCTCTATGCAGACTGTAGATCACTTATGTGCTTTTATGGTATAGTCCATTCTATCCGCCAAGACCATCATTTCCGGTGCGGAACCCAAGTAGCAGTGTTCACAGGGTATGTTCATCTTCTGGCATAGCAATTTTTGCAGTAGGAATGTTGAACGAAGGTTGAGAACTGGCAGGAATGGAGATGGTACTTGATGGCCTCGTTTCTCGGGTAACACTTTGAGCCATTTTCAGGCCTCTGAGGAAGACGAAAGGCGTCGAAACGTTAGGCCGCGATTGGAAATAAAGGAACACCTAACAAACCTGTTTGGCACAGAAGTACTTCTACTAATCTTCATAACTTCCCTCCCAGAGCGCTTTGCAGATATCGAAAGCAGATCCGGAAAAACCCGATGAAGTAGACAAGCACGAAATCAGATCAAAGCAGGTAAGGCAGATAAGACAGTGATTAGTCAAATTACGAGGAATAATCTGGGTATGACTGAGTATACCAGCAAGTTATTGATAATGTGTTTGTATAAGTATAAGCTTCCTTAATTTGACAATTTTACAGTTGGAAAGCCTAGAACCGCTTCATTTTCAACAAAACTATTCATGAACAATTTTTGGCGGGATAACATTTATAAGTTTACTTATTATCCAAATCGTATTCTACAGGCACATAATTCTTTGTTGTTCAATTGTTTATTCATCTTCTAAAAACACTGAATATTGCCATATGCAACTGAAGGAAGGTTTTGAGCAGCAACCCTGAGTTCTGCACATGCCTTCGGTTTGCATTATCATCCTGCCGAAATCGAAGTTTGAATAAGATTCACCGCTCTTCTGAAAAAGTCAAGCCAAAACACGATAAGTTTTCATTTCTAGATGCAAGTAAACAAATCAATAACTCATAATAAGATCCAGTAATTCGCCACCGAAAGTAGCTATAATGACCGCTGGCATCAAAGATATATGTGTGCAAAGTTCTAGCTCAATCGGTGTAAGCACAACCCGTCCATAGGTTACATACATGACATATACATACATTGCAAATTTTTTGTTTTACACAAATAGAGATTCGAGGCTCGCTATGCTTCATCGGCATGCTAGCTTCGCGCTAACTCCCAACGCCTTACATCACTGTTTACAATTGTTAAACTGACAACTAAGTGGCTATTTTTTTCGACTCATCGTTACTTTCGTATTCAGTCGCAGCGCCTCTCCCTGTATCAAATCTCAGTGCCCCAGCTCAAGTTTGCAAAAAATGAAAGTATTGGCAATGGATAATTTTTAATAATTACATTCGTTATTAGCATGCTGAATTATCCACCCCTACTAACTCTAACTACATCTCAAAGTTTTTAAAAAAGACACTGAAGATTTTTTACTTCCAAGATTGATATAATATCTGTTACCACACCATTTATGAAACATGAGGTCAAAAGATGCGAAAGAGGTATTGCAATGCAAAACTAGCTCTATCCGCTATAAGCCTTTTAAAAGATTGATCTAAAAAACAATATACAAGGTGTCTCAAAAAAATGTATCGAACGTTTGATCGTTAATATCTCTTCCCAAGAAGTCTTTTGCCTTGCTTCAAGTACCGTTTTGTAGAGCTGGCTTCAACTTAGATTTGCATTATAGAACGAATCACCCATCTCTTTTCATTACTGTAGGATTACGGTAGAAACTTGAAACATGTGGTGTCAATGTGGAAAAAGCTGCCGTTTCAAAAATTTTCAAAAAATTGTGAAAACTTGTGTAATAGGGTTTTTATGGACGCTGAGTTTAATACTCAACTATTCACAAGATTACGAAGCTTTCTAAAGGGTGTAACCGCACTTTTTAGGAACATTGAGAAAATGGCCGCTACCTCTTACCTGGCATAACTCTTCAATGGCATCACAATAAGTTGGGAACTTTACAGTTATAATCAGCAACTCTAATTAGCCTAGTGTAAAAGCTTTCAGGCTGTTTTGTTTCCTTTCTAAGGCAAAATATGGCCTTTTATTGCTTAAAACCCTCTTTGAAGTTTCTACCGTAATCCTACAGTAATGAAGAGAAATGAGTGATTTGTTCTATAATGCAAATCTAAGTTGAAGCCAGCTCTACAGATTGGTACCTGAAGCAAGAGAAAAAACTTCTTTAGAAGAGAGATATTAACGATCAAACGTTCGATACATTTTTTTGGGACACCCTGTATAATCAGAGTTACACAAGTTAAAAACGATGGGTTTGAAACCATGGGAATATCTAAGCGTCTCTCGAACAGACGTATTGCAGACACAACAGAGTTGGGAAGAGTAAGAAATTTCGCATCGAATACATTCTAATTCACAAACCGGTTTTTATTTATCACATTTGCAAGTGGATTCGAACATTTCACAAACATTCGACCATCTGGTACATTTTAGGTTTATTTTCAATGGCACTTCATCACATTACGAAATGTAGTAGTTAACGAGAAGATGTAGCTTGACCTTTTGAATATTCGCACTCAAAAAAAAAAGGCTGAAGAAAAAGTATTCAGCACCCACACACGTCTTGAAACAAAGATTCAACTGCTAACTTTTGATTGGAAATACCGCAGTTATTGTTTGGAACTTCAAATGCCTCATGCTTAGTCGTTCTGGTATAAAGCCCATTGCGCTTTTCTGTTTGCAGTAAGAATAAAAGCTTTTGGGTTGAAAAGAAAGTCCAGTCAGTGGGACCCACTTTAAAGGCAGCGTCCAAGCAAATCTGGACATATGGGGATCTCATATGGACAATAACTTTGGGACCCTAACTGAGACACTGTCCAACCCGCGCTCAGATGGTGTTCTAACGGCTGAGATTATCGCCTTCGCTTCACCTCAGGATCGTATTTCGCATGGACTCATGGCGCAACACATCAGTTTCGCACGAGGACCCACGCGAAATTGGTGTATTTTGCCATGAATTCATGCGAAATACGATCCCGGGATCTAGTTTGGAGGCGTATATCTCGGCCGTTAGTGAGTCATTTGCGCTGCCGAATGGTCCGTAACTTAGTTGAGGCCCCAAAATTACTTTGCTCGTAAAATCTCCTTAGGTCCAGATTTGCCTGGACACTACTTTCAATCACTGGAAAATTCATTATTTTATTTCCTATACAAGCTCTGTGACATATAGAAGTTGTGCTGCTTGAGAGTAAAACATCGAAAAGGGTTTTCAGATTTTTCAAACATTCCAGGTTGTTTTTTTATAGAAACTATTGCTCTCTTTATTGTCCTTTTTTGCAAGAACATGCAGTGGTACAGTCTGGCCTCCGCGACTGCTATAGTTGTCATGTTCATGAAAACCATATCCTGTAAGCTACATTTTTATATTCTTCTTGCGTAATGATTGCGTCCCAGTAAATTTAGTTGTGACAAGTATCCACTCCCCAAGAATTTCTGATGGCTACTATTTAACAGAATTTTTGCGAATGATTATTGTTGGAGATATAGGAGGTAAGGTTTTGTGCAACAGTGTTTATTTTTAGCTTGAGAAAGTTAAGCCAACAACTTGGAGGATTACCTGTGTACCCATACTACACCTTCGCCCAAACTAGAGTCGCAGAAGTCATGGAAGACTGGGCGATTAGAAAAAAGGTTCAGTGCGTGATCACTCTAGGCGACAACATTTACTACACTGGCGTGAAAAACGAACAGGATCCTCGATTCAAAGCAAGTATTTCCTTTTTTAACGTTATTCTTGCACTGGCACGCTGGCAACCTTTTGTCGTTTCTCACGTTAATTGCCCGATTTGTTGTGGTTTTTGCAATCATTGGCGCTCAACGCTCAAAATCAAGAAATTCGTTGAATAGGATAAAAATAACCCGTTGAACAAACACTTTTTAATCAAACTTTGTTAGCAGATATGATCGGGTATATGATATCAGGCGAATAATTTCTGCTACACTTTTTTTTTACTTTTTTAAAATCTAAGAAACTTTCGAAAATTCTCATGTTTAAGGAGTGTTGACGGGGTGCGAAGGTCTGCCACCAGTTCAGTTAGATCCGTGGTTTGTGCGCAAAACACCTACTTTGCGGTGGGGGTACCTTTTATGAACATTTTTGTCTACAGGCTGGCATTCTTCCAGGTGATCAGGTACAGACCGGGCGATGTGGTATTTGGGGACCAGGGTATGGCCCGTAGGTTTTAGCGAATACGAGAGTGGCACAATTGTCTGCACGTGTTCACATGAGTTACAACATGTTCACCATATCAGCGCACATTCGCAATTCAACATGTAGAACGATTTTTAGATAATTATAAAGCATTTTCAGTCTCTTCTTATAAAATCCTACATGATGCCTAAAAAGAAAAACTTTCGAACTACATGTTCACCATACCTTCGATAGTCTAGAGACAGGGCGTCAAAAGTGAAGGTTGTTTGAACATCTGACGTCATAAATAGTGAAGGTCGTTTAAAGATGCTCAGAGAAGAGAAAATGACATAAAACAGATATAAAAAGCAAAAGAAACTGCTGGAAACCGGATAAAAACGCTGCACTGAGGCTCGAATTCTTTCATTTGGCGGCTTTGCAAGTTTTCGCTTCAGGGCCAGCAATTCGCAACACGGGGCTTCGATTTTTGATGCGTCCTTTGAATTTTTACCCCCGCACTGACGTTCCTGTTTCCTGGGACGTTGTCTGGATTGTTGCGCTTATTGTTCTGAGCATCAATCGTCCAAGCTGGAAAAAAATCTATGCGAAAGCACCGAAACAGAACAAGGTAAAGAAAAACGCACTTTTTACGATTTTTCGTAAAAAATTCCACAATAATCGAAGAGATAAAGGCTGCGTGGTTGTCTGCATTATGAACAGAAGCAAGATCTATAGAATGCACGAAAGAACCGCGTAAAAAGAGGTAGACTAGAAGAAAAACAAGAGATTTTCGAAAACAAGGTTTTTGCCGGATTTCTCGTTCAAATCAAAAAATTCGATTTTGGGACGTTGTCAGTGTAAAAGTAGAGATCAAGAGCTTCAAAACTTTATATAGCTTGTCAAAATTGGGTTCGAAACAGCGGAGAAAAGGGTACCAGAGCCAAATGCCCCGCGCCCCGCGTTTGGGGTAGCGAGGTAGCGCGCAGCGCGCGGAGACGCAGACGAGCAGCGGAGACGGACGAGAGCCGACGGGGCATTTGGCTCTGGCCGCAGATCTCATCGGGGTCTCAACGAAACCCTGTAACATTATATATCATTCTGACCGTCATGAGACGACGAGGAGAGCCGACAACGTCCCAAGCTATAAGATTCACTTATTAACGAGATAGACCAGCATTTTCGTGCGCGACTCTCTGCGCACATTTAAGCGCAGTTTCTCGTTTCAATTCAACTCCAACGCTTTCCCAAACTTTTAAATCTCATTTTTGGTCAAGTAATAGGCTAACTGAGGAACGTTGTCCTGAATTCAGAGGAAACTTTCACAGATATTCTCTTTTCAGCGTAAAAAAGGCTTTAAAAGGCAAATTCTCGGTTTCGCTGAGATATTCTTCAGATATTCTTTCCTATATTTGGTTCATTCACATTCTTCCGATATAGTCAACATCTGGGGCTTCGCCCCGGATGACTTTTGTTTTTTTACCCCAGGTGAAGGTTGTGTCCCCTCATAGCCCTCAAAGTGAAGGTTACCAGAGTATATGGCGCTATGTATCGAGGGTATGATGTTCACCATATCAGCGCACACTGGCATTTTAACATGTAGAACAATTTTTAGATAGCTTGAGCTGAACACCGAGATTACTAGGTACCTATGAATCAAAGACAGTTTTGAGTGTGCTTACAAGGCTGACGTGAACTTGTTGTTTGTAATTTGCGGCATTAGTCATGCTCTTGTGTACGCGCTGTCGTGCCCTACATTTAGAGCAGATTTGAAGATCCTGGGAAGCTTCCTGGTTTATTTGGATTTTTACAGAAAAATGTGGCAGAAATTACCTCCGCCACTCTATTGAATCATAATGTTGAAGGCAGCGTCCCGGCAGGTTTGGCGTTTCTATCTTTTTGCATGTTTTTGGCCTTCTCGACCCATAGATCCCGAATCGAGCTTTAAAAGGGGTGAAAAGGCTTTTTTCGTGGCGTTTTTTTCAATTCCCAAGAGGCAGCTCGGACGAGTTTTCAAAGGAAAATCGGGAGGCCCTGGCACGAAGACCCTGCCTGTAATTTTGGCTTTGTTTAGCATGCACAATGCGGGAAAGCGGTTGGGGGGTCCCGCGCTGTCTAGCGGAGAATACTCGTCCGAACAAGGTGTTAGGGGAGCGAAAGGAGGAAGGGGAGCGGCGCTTGGGCCGCCCTCCTGGCTTGCAGAGTTCACATTTTCGGCGCGGAGTTGCTGTTTTGGTTCACTTGGAGGGCCTCCTATCCATTTGTGTCAAAATCTGAGGTAGGTCAATCTGCCGAGCCGCTGCCTTTAAATTGGCGGAAAATTTCTGCTACACTTTTTATTTTTATTTCCTAAAAATCTAAGAAACTTTTGAAAATTCTTATGTTTGAGGAGTGTTGACGGGGTGCAAAAGTCTACCCGCCGCACTGTCGGATCATAGGTCAGTGTACAAAATACCCACGTTATCGGTGGGGGTACGTTTTATGGACATTTCCAGCAGGCTGGCATTGTCCCAGACGATCGGGAAGAGACCGGGCGATATTGCGTCCGGCAGGAAATGGTCCATAGCTTTTAGTGAGTCTAAAGAGATGGCACAATCATGTCCGCACAAGATCACATAAGCTACATGTTGCGCCGTCAGCACGCATCGCATTTCAACATGAAGAACAACTTTTAAAAGCTTACAATAATTTCTCCGTATCAAATCCGAAACGATGCATCTAAAAAGAGTAATCTGTGACTACTTTTGATTTTTTTGAATTGTTTTTCACTCTTTGCCTTTGGCGTACTAGCGGCACCAAAGTGCTGCCATAAAAGAGACGATGCGAAAATATGTACTAAAAAATTATGGGAGAAAAAACACAATTAAACGCAGGAAAAAATCAAAGAAAAAAATGACAATTTTGGAAGTGCTTCGGCTAGCTATTTGTGCATTTGCGGCACACTCACACTGTTGCATACGTCTTGCTGTGGTCTAGACATGGAGCAGCTTTGAAGATTTTAGAAGACTTGTGGAATTTTTCAGAATTTTACAAAAAAAGTGTAACAGAATTATTCGTCAACTTAAAGGCACAGTCCACCCAAAATGTGGTCGATGAGATTCTGATGCCTAAGTAGTGTGGCCATCAGCTGTATACGCCCAACTCGTGCTGGCGAAGTTGCTTCCCAAGCGAGAAATTTGCTTCAAAAATCGCTTCGGATGACGAATTTGCCACGTTAACTCCGCCCTTTGAGGGAGTGGGCGTGAAGTTTGTCCTGCCCATTTGAGCGCACCAAGCCAATCACCGTTCCGCACAACTAGCCCTGTGGGTTCTCCGAAACGGTTTGCGGGGTTAAGCGGATTCTCGACTTGATATTTGGAATCAGGGACATAAGAAGGCCCCGGAACGACAAAAACATGGAAGCCGAGAATCTGGGTGGACGGTGCCTATAATATAACTAGCTGGCTTACCCGGCTCCGCCGTATGTTCCGAATAGAAAATTCCATTTCTTAACCTATCCGAATCAAACTTGGCACACATACACTTCGGGCCCCGGCGGGTGTCACAGCGCACTTTTCGTTATCGATTGATGTCGATTTTATCGATTTTTTGCAAAATTTGAGCTAGGGGGCTGAGATCTGTCACAGGGGGGTAATCGAGCATGCTGATTACGAATACAATATTAGTTTTCGAAACCGTGCATTACTTTTATCGATTTTATCGATTTTTTGCAAAATTTGAGCTAGGGGGCTGGGATTTGGCACAGGGGGGTAATCGAGCATGCTGATTACGAATACAATATTGGTTTTCAGGATTATCGATTACTTTTATCGATTTTATCGATTTTTTTGCAAAATTTGAGCTAGGGGGCTGGAATTTGGCAGAGGGGTGTAATCGAGCATGCTGATCACCCCCCTGTGCCAGATCTCAGCCCCCTAGCTCAAATTTTGCAAAAAATCGATAAAATCGACATCAATCGATAACGAAAAGTGGACTGTGACACCCGCCGGGGCCCGAAGTGTATGTGTGCCAAGTTTGATCCGGATAGGTTAAGAAATGGAATTTTCTATTCGGAACATACGTACAGACAGACAGACAGACATACATACAGACAGACATACAGACAAACAGACATTCAGCTTTATATATAAGATAAAGTGAGCTTGACTCATCCGTAATTCTCAAAACTTTCGCAACCATTCAGAACACTTTCGAGAACATCTACAATGGCAAGGGGTTGAATGTGCCTTGGTACATGACTGCAGGAAACCACGATTATTTGGGCAACATCTCAGCTCAGATTTCATACACCAACAACAGCCATAAATGGTCAGGTTATAATAAGAGTAATAATGGCTTAAGTGCGTGTCAATTCAAAACTATGAAATTGAAGGCGTTTTCCCGGATTATACTACAAGCTGTCGTTTCCGCTTGCACACACTTGTGTTGAAATACTGATGATCGATACGATAATGCTCTGTGGAAATGTTGTTAAAGTTCAAAAGGTACATCTGTCAGCATAACAGTACAAGAACTTTTCTACCCGTACTTTTGATACAATGGTGAGTCATTGCAGGACCACCACTTTAGACAGGAAGCGGAAAGACAGTGGCGATGGATAGAAGAAAATTTAAAAATAAGCAAGTTTGGTAGGCTGATTTAGAAACTCCTGTAACACAACGCATCTCAAGGGCTGACTATCTGTTTGTTGCTGGCCATTATCCGATCCACTCAATGGCCTCGCATGGGCCGACAAACTGTCTTCGGGAAAGACTCGATCCTTTACTCAAGCGATATCATGTATCTGCATATTTCTCCGGGCATGACCATACCCTGCAGGTAACTAGCTTTACTGAATTTGGTACCGAATCTTTTTTTATTACAACAATCATGAAATAAATAATTGTGGAAAATGCGCTCCATAGTTTCTTCTTCTCAAAGTAAAAGTTAAATGGTTGTAGTAAGAAGATTAAAACTTCGAAGTTTTTATGAATACCTCAAAGAGCTTTCTTACATATGGGAAATCAATGGAGGTAGAATACTATGATGATAATACCAAGTAAACACAGAGAGAGGAGAGAAGAAGGAGCAAATTAGGTCGAAATCGTAATAGCTGCCATCCTTTCCCCTTATCACCACCGCATTTGTTACGCTTTTTTAAAGACCTGTTCTGAAAAAATGCGCAATTCCTTATCTCAATCTAAACATATGGTCACAAAATGTCCCAATTTGCTTATCACAAGTTTTTAACATTGAGGTGGCTCACTGATGGTGTCTATCGATCGTTCATTTTCAGCATATCGTTTACCCGATTAAGGAAGGTTATGAAATGCACTATGTGGTCTCGGGTGCTGGGTCACGATCAGACCATTCCACAAAACATCTTGGGACGATTCCAACGCAGTTCTTGATGTTCCAGTAAGCATTTTGAAAAATTTCCGAAGCCAAATGAAGGTTAACCTAGCTCTTTAGTTATCCCATTGGGTGGAATCCAGTCTCGAATTGGGGGTTCACTTACGGTGGTTTTCTTTATATGGAAATCACGAAGAGTAGTGCCTCACTACAATTCATAACGGGAAACAACGTGACAATGTACAGGACAAAAATCTATCCTAGATCATCAATTGAAAGGTGGAGTACTTCTGAAGAACAGAGTTGCTTTTCGTTTGCGAATGAGTGGCGAAAACGCTACTTTTGACTGATCTAAAAGTTCCTTTTCGATAAATTGGGAACTATTAAAAACTTCCATAATTGGATTTGTATTGAGCAGAGATCGTGATTATGCAATTCAAGATTAGTAGCTGTGTATAAGATTTTGAGCACGCTTTTTTGGGTGGCTTAAGCAGCGACTGGAGTGAGGAGCTTTCCATTATTGTCTGACCTTTTTCTAAATAAGAATAAATGCTTTCCAATCTAGCTCTGTAAGCTCAAATAGAGCAAATTCTCGTTTTGGTTACTATCAGCTCATTCTCATCGGAATTTTTTTACGTTCTGTCGCATGTTGGCTTTCTGTGGCTATGTTTCCGAACAATCGATTTCGTATATCAATGTTTGCCATTGTTTGGTATGATCATAGTTATTTTGCAGAAAACTCAAACTGTTCTCTCTTCTTTTTTAGTGCTTCTCGGTACTTCAAATATAATATCAGTAATTGTTTGATGGCATATCGCAAGACAATGAAAAATTGTTATTGTGTTAAATTATTCGAGCTTTACTTCAATTCTCGTTCATATTTAACAATCTGTGTTCCAATACTTATCTGCTATCTTTTACTTCTTTAAAATCACGTAATTCCAATGTAAACTCTCACTGAAAATCTCTTTTGGTATCGGATCGCAAGGAGTGATCATGCAGTTCATTTGCAAAGCTTTGACAGTATGGACGATAATATGTATGTCTGCAAAGTTTTATCTGAAAATGAAACTTGACTAGAATCTCTAAGGGTTTGCAATAGATTTCGTCGGAGCCGTGAAAGATATTACTACGGATGAGGGCACTGCTTATCTAAAAATAATCGTCGTAGGAGATATTGGAGGTAAAATTGAGTTGTTGAGTACACTCTAACATCTAAATTTGTAGGGCTACCTGAATTCCCATATTACACGTATGCTCAGTCCAAACTTGAAAAGGTTATGGAAAACTGGGCGAAAGAGAAGGATATTCATTGTGTGGTTAGTGTTGGTGATAACATTTATTATGTTGGTGTAAAGAATGAGCATGATTCAAGATTTCATGTGAGTCACTTTACTTTCGCTTTCAATGCTCATATACGTATAAGATGCAATAAATTGTAGAAGCTGTTGAACTTTGGATAATCATAGATAGTTTCAAAAGTTCTGCCCGTTTTCGAAATCTAATTTTGATCCCATAACTGTTTACAAAATGTTGTAATATTGTGTAACGATCCACAAACACTTTTTGTGCGTACTCAAAAATCAATGCAGCGACTACGAGAATAATCATCTACCCAAATGATTCCTTTCTACGAACTCATGCTTTGATAAACCTAATCAATCTGATGTAGTGAAATATACTGACTCTGCTCACTGTGTAGCCAGTCAGCTGAGCAGCTGTACTAGTTTTAAAATTTGATTGAACTATTCAAAGGAACCCAGTCAATCTTTTTTTAGATGATAAGAAAATGAGTTTTTGATTTTTTTAACTGATAGAATTTGAGAGAATATATCAGGTTGTCCCGAAAGTTTTGTCGGTTTATTAAAACCACTGTAAAACCACGCACAGTGAAGATTTAAGTGAGTTTCAACGTGCATTCGATGCAGATTTTCCTTCTCTTCCTTATGGATACACTTTCATACCACAATCTTGTATGCTTTTTTTGATAATTGCCAAAATTCTCCACCTGTCAATTTCACCTGCTCAAAGTTGAGCTAATTTTCAAAAATTTCATTACAAAGTTTCGGAAAAAACTAAGTATGGGTCAAATAGAGCAACTCTCGGGCTACAAGATCTTATTTTTAGATTCTCCTAATCTGCTGATTTTAACTCCAAAAAATTATTTCTCCGGAGGCCTTGGTTTTTAGCAAAGTCATGAAACGTGCAATTGCAGCAAAAGCATGAAAGCTTTTGCGTTTTTGCGAATTCAAACTTGTTTGTTATTTAACATCATTTATGCAACATAACCAAGTTTGATTTTCTTCAAAAATCAGCTTTTTGGAATTTCGGTAATTTTACGTGATAAAACGTGTTCAAAAAGCCGCGGTTTTCTCAAATAAATAATTATCACGTAATCTAAAATAGGTACAATGTAGCCAAAGGTTTGCCCTACATAGCAGTCACCAGCGCTTATCGAAAATATCAAGATAAAAATTTTGAAAATTCAGGAAATTTTTGGCGCTACTGCTGAGGTGCTCAAAAAGCCATGAACATCGTAAAGACGGGGTAGATCAGGGAACAAATATAGCTATAAGAAAGAGGATACAAAAATGAATAAAACGACACCTAGGCCGTCCATGGATTGGTGTTCTGTGAGGTTTGGTGAGCGATGAAAAAACCGACAAAACTTTCAGGACAACCTAATATCATTTTTCTAATATATTAGGTCTTTCCGAAAGTAATGTCGCTTTTTTCGAACGTCCGCTACATCTCGTGGAACAAAGATGTGTAAGAGATTCTGGTAGCATTTGATGCAGCATTTCATTCTCTTTCTAATGGTTATACAATCATTGCAGAAAATAGAATAGCCTCCCGAAAAATTATTAAAATCTGCGACTCATGCTTTTTGAGAAGGCCACCTTTCACAATTTTTCTAAATTCTTATAACAACCCTCGTAAGAAGTCCAGGTAATGGATAAATAGAGCAAACCCTACAGGGAACAGCATGACTTTTTTTCTACTTTCTAGAGCTCCTCAAAATTTTTGCAGAGGTTTTTTAATGGAACCACCGAAATTTGGCAGGCTCGTCTCAGACACAAATGCACCTCAAACATCAATAAATCTTCGGAATTTACAAAGATGAATTATGGTTTGACACTAATTTTACAAACCAAATGAGCATTCACGCTTCAGATTAGCAACTTTCGAGGATCCGGGTACAGCTTGGGGTGCCCTGGAAAACCTGAATTATGATAATTTTATCCCGGGATGTGATGAATCGGGAACAAAAAACAACTGGTAGAAAGAGGAGAAAAATGACACCCGAGTTGCTTGCCGGTTGTTGTTCTGTGAGGTTTGAGTTTACCAAGTATGGAAATTGATGGCATTGAAAAACTCATTCCAGAAACTCTAACAATAAGAAGCAACCTAAGGAAAAGAAAATTACTCTGTGTCCTATAAGGTTTGCTAATCTGCCTGTCACTTGTACTTCTTCGGAGAATAGATACAAAAATGTAGAAAAATAGCCGAACTTGACCATGGCAAAAAGCATGAGTCGCAGATTTTGGTTATTTTTCAAGAGCTCATTGAATATTATGAATTTGTCAATTTTCATGAAAGTCATTTTTCTCACAGAGATGTCCAAACAGCACAAACTCTTCACAGTTGCGAAGGGTAGGCCAAAAAATCATATGTACTGACGATTTAAGATTTTTTTGCAGCGTTCCAGATTTTTGATGACCTTATCAAAAATGATTAAAGCTTATATGGTGTTACTTTTCCATCTCTTCTGCGTTCAGTGTGAAACCGAGGCTGTCCAAAACAGAGTTTGAAATTGAAAGACTTTTTCTTTCTAACAAAATTAAAAGCAAGCAAATCCGTTTCAATTTCTTCAATTTCGCGAAGTTACAAATTTTTGAAAAAGAAACGACAGAACTTTTGGACCCATCTAATATACCTAATATGAATATTTAGCTCCTTCCACAGGGTTCTTTCGTGCACGCAGTAGATCTTGCTTTTGTTTATAAACTAGAGAACGTCGTCGAGCTTACTTTTTTGTGATTAAATACCTCAAAAAGCTAATAGCCTCAAAAAATGCGTTTTTGTTCATAGTCTTTAATGGAGTGGTTGAGCAACTATTTCGTTTACGCTGGGGGAATCTCGCTGAAATGATGAGCAGAACAAAGCTGACAGACTCGCCGGAAACGATACTACTGGGCGTGGTAAAATTTTGCCACAACCTTTAGTCACATAATTTTTCAGTGAAACTTCTAAGTTAAGCCCTGCAGGCACGTGTTCATGTAACTACCAAGTTTCAAACCTATGTTCATCTGTGCGCTGCAAAGGAGCCATTTTAATTCACATCTTCGTCTACCAGTTTTGCAATTTCGGAAAAATGCTTATTGCACCTCCCATTCACATAAGTTTTTCATAATATTCCATACTTTGTTTCTACTAGTCTCTCTTCGTTCGCTTACGTAATTTGGTGCTATATCGTTACGCCTGCATTAAGAACTGATCATTAATCACATGCTGTTCAACGGCATCGCCTATGCGACGTCGCGCACGCGGTGATTAGCGGCGGCGCGGCGTAGCGCGCGCGAACTCTGCTGTGCGTTGAGGATTATGAAAACTACTTCCCAAGGATAAGATGTATAAGGTAATAAACATGATTCGACTTTCTTTCGCTTGCACTTGGAATCTTCTTCCAAGGCTCCGCATGGACCCCGCAAAAACGATTTCTCCCTTGCTTTTCCCACTAAAAACGATTTCTTCCCTGTCATTTGCTTTTTCGTGCCGGGCCATGGGTAAAAATCTGAACGCAAAAATCTAAGATGCTTTTTGACGTGCATTTTGACTAAGTAAAGACAAAATTTTGCGTTTCTATAACTGATTAGTTGGCAAACCCGGCTCCGCCCGGGCCTGTCAATAATATATTTGTGATCAGCATGCTCGATTACCCCCCCCCTGTGCCAACTCCTAGCCTTGCAGCTCAAATTTTGCAAAAAATCGATAAAATGGATATCGATCGATGACCAAAAGTGCCTATGACACTCGCCCTGCCCCGAAGTGTATGTGTGCCAAGTTTGGTCCGGATCGGTTGAGGAATGGAATTTTCTATTCGGAACATACGTACAGATACACAGACACACAGACACACACACAAAACAGACATTCAGCTTTATATTGGGTCCTCTCAAAAGTATTTTCGCTTTTTTGAACAAGCGCCACAGTCCACAGAACAAAGATTTACAGGAGCTCTTGGAAGCATTCGATGCAGTTTTTCATGCTCTTTCAAATGATCATCTTTATAGTGCAGACGAAGCAAAGAGCTTTCAGAAAATTGCTATAAACTGCGGCCCATTCTTTTTACTAAGGTCAGGTTCAGCTACTTTTCTAAATTCTTGTACTGATTCCCCGAAGAAGTCCAAGTAACCTGTTGACAGAGCAAACTAAAGCACTTTCTCCTCTTTCAGAAACATGTTTTTTGTTCCTAATTCGAGAAGTTTTGGAGGATAAAATCGGCAGAATTCATGTTTTTTTAAGGAACCCCGGCTGCACCCGACAAATAAAAAATTAGGCACTTCGAACCACGGAAAGCTCACTTGTTCCGCTAAATTAGTGCTGAAACCTAATTCACTTTGACAGTATCGAAAATCGAGAATTTAGTGGAGTTTGACGAGTCTGCGTCTAGTATGGGACTCCCAAAATTCAATGGTGGTGTTCAAAATTCTGTCAAAAATTATCCTGGGAAGCCCTGGGAAGGAGATCGAAACTGTTTTGTATCCTAATTTCTTTGCTCTATCCGCTGGTTACTTGGACTTCTTCGGGGGATCAGCATAAGAATTTAGAAAAATAGTGGAACTTGACCTTGGTAAAAAGCATGCGTTGCATTTATCGCAATTTTCTGATAGCGCATTGTTTCAACTGCTAAATAAAGATGACCACTTGAAAGAGAATAAAAAACTGCATCAAATTCTAAGAAGAACTTTTGTAAACCGTTGTTCTGTGGACTGTAGCGCTTGCTCAAATAAAGCGAAAATACTTTTGGGACGACCTAATATGTAAGATTTTTTTGGTTTCTTCTTCTCGCCATCTCTTCTGAAACATGCTTGTCTTTGAAGCAATCACAGAGAGAGAGAGAGAGAGAGAGAGAGAGAGAGATTTAGCTTTTCCTCTTTTTCTAGGTGGAGTGCAGGGTTCTGGAGTGAAAACCTGCGATTCGAAAAAACTAACTGAAGCGTTTTTATCCGGTCTTTGAGAGCTTCTGTTTTTGCTATTTGCTTTGCATCTGTTCTCTCCTCTAACTGTTTTGAAAAGGTTCACTTCCTATTGGGCCAGATTCAAACAACCTTCACTTTGGAGTCCTATCTCTAGACTTCAAATTGTGCTCATTTGGACAATTTCCAAATCTTAGAGTCTTCCTAAACGCTCCTTGGTTGAATGTAAGCGATAAATCAAGTGCGGCCAGCTGAGGTGCTTTTTAATGGCCATTCCCCTCCTTCCTCGACAGCCAGTGAGCGTAGTTTTAGTTTCTCAGTTTTCATGGTGATGTTGACCAAACCGAGTAAAATTATTCCTTCCTTGCTAGGGATTGCGGTGCAGGAGTTGCTAAAATGTAAATTTCATTTTGACTGAAGTGAGATGTATCTGAATGACTATTTTAGAGATTTTGGTCATGGCAAAAAAGTTTCTGAATTGATTGATAGTAATATTGGCGAGATCTTTCAAAAGTTTATACTATTTCAGACAACTTTCGAAAATGTGTACCGTGGCCCAGGATTAAATGTATCATGGTATACGATTGCGGGGAACCACGATCATTTCGGCAATATCACAGCACAGATTGCTTATACTAACCATAGTCAAAAATGGTTCGCCGCGCAAGCATGAGATAGCTGATCCATCTTACAACGCTCTTATAACTGCAGGGTGTTTCCCGAACTTTATTATAAATTGTCATTTACAAGAAATAATTTCTCTGTAGACGTCTTGATGATCGACACAATAGTTCTTTGTGGAAATACTGCCGACATCAAAAACGGTGGTTTCTTCGATATCTTCATCAGCAAACGATTTCATCCCAAGGTTCATCAGAATTCATAGATTTACAGTTTCGGTTGTATGTTCAATCAAACATACAGGGGCCAAGTGAAGTTACACCAGCTGAAAAGCAATGGAGATGGATTGAAGAAAACCTGAATTCTAGCAGGCACCGCCAATGGTTTTGAAAACTCTGATAGAAAGTGAATTTTAGAGCTGATTATTTGTTTGTTGTTGGACACTACCCGGTTTATTCTATGGGATCACATGGTCCAACAGACTGCCTTCGTGAAAGACTCAACCCTCTGCTGAGATTCTACAATGTGTCAGCCTATCTCTCTGGACATGAACATAATCTGCAGGTGATTTGCGTTGCTATAGTTTGAACAGCTGCCCTTGAGTTGAAGCTGCAAACGTAAGGACATATCTCTAAATCCTTTCTACAGTAACATATGCTTCGCGTTATTCTCTCATTGGGCCTCAGTCGTTTCAAAAGATTTACCCTAAAGTCTGCCCTAAAGTTTCAAAGATAAGGCTGCCGAACAGATGGATTTGTTGAAGGCTTTGTTTTGCAACTTCAAAAACGTTTTTTTCAATGTAGCGACAAAACCGTTGTGTATCATTCTCAGAAATTTAAAGAGCTTTTTCGAAAATTGCTTAGAATTTGACTGCGTGGAGCTGATTTCATAAAAGGGATGAAGAATAAAAGCCGTTTTGTCTTGTGAAGTGCTAAGATGTAAATGAAAATCAGAAAACATTTTGAAAAATAAGACTCTGACAACCTCTTAATCGTTCGAAAGAGCTCTTTGAGTACTTTCGAAAAATGCGAAGAAAGACTGTCCTCTTGCATTTGTGCATAAACGTTGCTGAAGCAAAAATTCGTTTATCTTACTTAGAACGTTAGTGATAATGATGAATTCTCAGTCATGGGCAGAAAGAATGCTAAGCTCATTTTTGTCCTTGACCGTAGACGGAGTACAAAAAATCCATAGACCTTCTCTTCAGTAAGGAAGAAAGAGTCCGATTCTTTTTGCTGTTTTGATCAGCTTATAGGTGGTAAAACCAAAATGTTGGCACTTTTGAAAGTATGAGTAGAAGGTGTTTGCAAACTTTTCTGCTTGAAAACTTTTCCAAGCTAAGGTTCTTTCCATGCTGACCCCTTTTTCTACCCCAGTCCACGACAAAGCTGTGAGCGCGTAACAGATTGGTATAACTAACTTGCTAAATAGGTTTCTACAGTAAGGAGCTTTTATTTCAACCAATTCGATGGAGATACTTAGAACTTTGAGTTCTTCGGTATACAATAAATAGGCGACAAGGTAACGCCAGCACTCAAATAAGAGAGAAAAAAATGAAAAGTCAATCTAGTTTCTGAGTAGGAAATGAAATGGAAATTCTTTGCACCAAAGTTTCTCTTTTAGCACATTGTGTATCCAACTGATCGAGGCCATTTACTGCATTACGTTGTCTCTGGAGCTGGTTCACGAGCTGACCACTCGAAAAAACATATCAGAACAATTCCCAAAAACTTCCTCAAGTTCCAGTAAGGCTAATTTTTTGAGTTAAATACGAAAATGAATTTATACCTTCCAGCTACCCAAGTTCCTGGAATCCAGTGTCGCAACTTGGATTCACTTACGGTGGTTTCGTGTTTATGGAGATTACTAAGGCGAATGCAACTTTGGAGTTCGTCACCGGGAATAATGTGGAGAAATACAAAGCAACTATCGAGCCTAGACTGATTGCAGTTTGATAGATATATATATTAGGTCGGTGCAAAATGGCCGTTTTTTCAAGCCTTTCTTCAAGGCAACTTTTCCCATCAAAATTTTTTCTTGAAAACAGATACAGCATATTAATTGGAAGCTCTCTTCATGCTTCATCTAATGATAGTTAAAATAGGCTTACAGCCTCATCTTTCAAATGCTACAGAGCTTTGAATAACATCCAAATTCAGAATTTCGTTGCATTCACTTTTCTGACCAGATTTAAACGAATGAATGCGCTTCTCCAAACATCTAGTCACTGTAAGAATGAGAAAACACCTATACTACGCACACACCTATTTTCTTTGAAAACGTCTAGACTAAGATATCGGCGCCTAAATATGGGTAGGCGCTGGCGTCGTGTTAAACATAAGATCGTGCCCCGAGTACTGTGCCTTGAAATGGTTCTCAAAAACAACGATTCTCAGTAGACAACCTCCCCCCCCCCCCCTCCCCCCAATCTTTATATTCCACGATTCCAGATTAGACTTCATAGGCTTTCAAGACTACCTTCGCTCTATCGGATCGTGAAAAATTTCCAGGTCATCCACGAGGTCGTGTCCGAGTACCTTCTTTCCTCTCTATTCTCGCCATTGTCCCGCGGGTGCAGGGTCAACGATTTGCATTTTTGTTTCCACTTGACTCGATCGGCTGCTTGTTGTTGTTTGAGATTTGTGATGTGCTGGTCGTTTTGAGTGGTGTCCAACCAGCGTTGCTTCGGGCTGCCGCGTGGTCTTCTTTCTTGTGGATCTAGACGAAGTGCTGTTTTTGCTACTGTATTATCGTCACTTTGTAAAATGACCGCACCATCGTAACTTTCCTCGCGCATTTTATCTGCAACAGGAGCATTTGCCGCACGTCGGTGTACGTTACACAGTTTCTTCGTGTAAGGCCAATTATTCATCTTATCATATGCGTCCCCATCGTGCTCAGGATCTGCTCCTGCTTCTTCGTAACAGGCCAAACAGGCCAACACTCTGCTTCCTACAGGGCTACTGGTCTTGTCACTGTGTGATATACTTTTAAGTTAAGATCACTGGAATCGACGACGGCAAGGTACTTCCGCTACTTGGCGCCGTTTCAGCCAGCAATCGTCCTAGCACGCGCATCAGTGATCGTTTCACAATCTGACGTTGCGCAGGAATCGAGATAATTGAAAGCGGTGGTTTTTTTAGTGGTGTCCGTCGATGCTGATTGTTCCGTCCGTTCACTCCCCACATTCTAAGTACTCAGTCTTTCCGAGTTCAGTAATAAAACACGTCTTCCATCTCACTCCCTCTTCTTGCCTCGATCCGCGTGCTAGCTCGGCATCATCCGCGTAGAGAAAGCGTCCACAATTGCAGCATTTAAATCTCTCATTACGGTGTCCATGCACAATGTGAAGAGCAGAGGTGATAACGCCCATTCTTGGTACTTCTACTTGGATCGGGAATGGCATTGATGTTCCTGCTGCAGCAGCGTATAGCTTGTCGTGCTCGTATAAAGGTCGATCCAGCAGACGTACTCTTCTGGGACGTCGTGTTGTCGCAGTGTGTACCATATCAGCTCGTGTGTTACTCGATCAAACGCTTCCACAAGACCGCATTAATTCGGAGTGACTTCTAGGATATCCCGGATACGCGTGTCGATAACTCGTTCATTTTATTACAGAAGAGGCTTACGGCGGTCGGTATTTGCATAACGGCCTTTATATTAGGTTGTCCCGAAAATTCGCTTTTTTTCATCGCTCACCAAAACTCATAGAACACCAATCCATGAACGACCTAGATGCCGTTCTATTCAAATTTTTATCCTCTTTCTTACAACTATATTTGTTTTCTGATCTACCTCGTCTTTGCGATGTTATCGCCATGGCTTTTTGAGACCTCAGCAGTAGCGCCAAATCTTTCCTGAATTTTCAAAATTTATATACTGATATTTTCGAAGAGCGCTGATGACTTTTATGTAGAGCAAACCTTTGGCTACATTGTACTTATTTTAGATTACGTGGGCCTAGTTTATCAAGTCCGTAATAATCATTTATTTGAGAAAAACCGCGGCTTTTTAAACACGGTTACCACATAAGATTAAGGAAAATTCCAAAAAGCTGATTTTTGCATTGCAAATCAAACTTGGTTATGTTGCGTAAATGATATTTAATAACAATCAAGTTTGAATTCGCAGAAACTTCAAAAGCTTTCGTGCTTCTGCTGCAGTTGCATGTTCCATGACTTTGCTAAAAATCAAGGCTTTTGAAGAAATAATTTTTTGAAGCTAAAAACAGCAGATTAGGAGAATCTAAAAGTATTACGTAGTAGTCCGAAAATTGCTCTATTTGATCCATACTCAGCCCTCTCCGAAACCTTGGAACGAAATTCTCAAAAATTAGTCTAACTTTGAGCAGATAAAAATGGCGGGTGAAGAGTTGTGGTAATTCTCAAAAAAAGCATACAGGACTGCAGTTCAAAAATGTAACCACAAAAAAGAGAAGGAAAAGCTGCGTGGAATGCACCTTAAAGCTCATTCAGGTATCTATTTACTGTGCGTGTTTTTGTAGTGGTTTGAAAAAACCGACAAAACTTTCGGGACAACCTAATATTTGCATCAACCTAATAAGTATTAGCACCTAACAGGAGTAATGATGTTAATATCTATTTGATAACATGAGTACTAAACACCTTAAGTAGATCGAATTCTGAACTTCGTCCATTCTTACTTCGCAAGCCAAAAGATCATACGACAAAAAAGAAGAATTGAACGACAATCGAAGAACAGAAGTTGAGGTTTACAATTAAAAAAATTCTCTTGAAAATCAAATTAGGCGCTCTCTTCCTACTGAAGAATCCCTGAGAGGGTCTAGATCTCAAAACTCCGTCTAAGGAAAGGACGAAACGGAGATAAACATAAATAAAATTATTTTTTCTTTTTATTAGTGAGGATAATTCTTCGCAGTATTCATCAGTAATTTGCGTCATCTTACAAAAAACGGAATGTCGGCATTTCTTTAATATCTGTGCAAATCCTTTTTCATAACAAAGCATTGCCCTTCCAGTTTTCTTCCTTCAACGAATGAAACTACCAATAAAGCTTTGGAAAAATGATTTTATTATTCAGCAATAAATGTTCTATACAGATTGCACATTTCGTATAATTACTCTAGAAGATTAAATATAAATAGTATTATCGATGACGCGATATTTTGATTTTGACGGCGAGGTGAATGAAAATGGCAGCGATGAGAGAGGCGAACGAGAAGCCGGTCGAGGCAGCCACCCAGTACATGTCGAAGCATTTCTTGTCGAGAGCTTAAAATAATACAGACAGGTATTTATTTCTAAAAAATACAAAATTTTTTACCTAGCTGTTCCGGATCACATTTGTCTCCTGTGCACAAAGCGGCTCTCACTGACTGAGTCATTTCGGAAGCAGTCTGTCTTCGGCGTTTTGAGAAGGCGCCCTCAGCATCGTAAAGGATCGAATTTGTTGGAGAGGTAATTAGATCCGGACAAAATGGGGGCTGAATGAAACAGAGTTAGAAGTCATATAATTCGCGGATTATAATGGTTCTGGATTGCCCAGGTTCGGCTGTCTCTTAACCTTGGCATGGTGGATACTCGTAATGGAATTGGCTGAGCAAACTTTACAAACTTATAATGGTTCTGATTGCTAGCCGAGATCCCCTTTTGCAATGTGGATCTAGTCAAACTGTATGGTATTGCCTTGAAAACCACATGATCATTTTTTGGGAGCACAAGAAGCTGAAGACAATGTAAACAAAAGTACAAAAGCGTCGCCATCGGACCTTCCTTTTCTGTCTTTTTAGGGGTAAATAATTCTCAAGCTTTCAGGAGAATAGCCTAAAGCATCCGAATGGGAGCTTTGGGTAACGACTTCTTCAACTGCAAAATTTATCTTATTGGCCATTTAAATGAGCTGTTTCGATTATCTGCTTTTAAGCTTAGTAATTACTTTTTTACTTGTCGATTTTCTGTAGCAAACAAGTGGTTTTCTTTCTACATGCATGACGAGAGCTGTAAAGAATTTTAAGACGAGCGCACTCACGCTTGGAATAGCTGCGCAACTGCTGATATTCGTTGTAGAAGAGGCAATATCAGAGCAGATTGCGACATCACATCTGATTCGAAGACGACTATGATCAGGAACCTGGAAGCCAAACTAATTTTGGCGGAAAAAGATAGCAGCTAATGTGCTACAGGAACAGATACACACCGTCTTCTAAGGGGTGGGGGAAAAACCGAAGAAAAAGTTTCGTTCGTCAGGGAGCTTTTTTCTACATTTGTCCACGTTAATAAATGATATTGGAAATAAAAATTCGCTTAAGCTTTGGGTTCTTTTTTACCTTAAAAGCCCACATATGAGATGAAGCCGTATCGTGATAGGTGTCATAGTGAGGATGAGCGAAGATGCTGAGATCCGTAGAACAGCTAAATCCTTGTGGATTTGAATCATTGATAAATAAGCACATTAGGAGCTTACCCAAGTTCATCGATCATTTTATGCTCAATACCGCTTATGTCATCCTTCACAATGCAGTTTTTCACATGGAAGCCATATGCATCTGAAAAAATTCAATTACCGTCACTCCTCTATCTCTTTCTAACGTTTTTTCACAAAACAATTGAAATTATTTATTTGTAATCTATCTGAAAAACTGTGTAAAGTTATGATCTATTCAAATTGTTTGCCACAAAATTTCAAAAAGAATGCTTCAAACCAAATATTTTTTTTAACCCATTGACGACGACGCCTAATTTTGCGTGGCGACGCTGTGGGACGACGCGATTTTGCACAATACTTTTGGCGTGGAAAGGATTTGTGATTATTCACGAAATGTAAAGTTGTTTTGTAATCAGCTACAATGATCTTCTTGGACGGCGGAGTCTACGGGTTCCGAGAGTGCAAAAAAAAAAACTGGAAAAAATACTGAATTGTGGAGAAGATACTAGGCCTGGAAAAGACATGATTTTGCAAGGTGTGGGCCACCGGTGGGTCCACATCGTCCCTGGCGGCAAAAAGTGCGCGGGCCACCGATGGCACATCGTCGTCAATGGGCTAGGGAGCTAACAAGATATCGTAAGATTGTAAGATCATCTGAATATCTGCAAGTCACTTTGGAATTCTAAACAGTCTTGTCAGCGCTGATTGTGAGTAAATTATTCTCTTCATGTTGGAACATACCAGAGTTAAAAGTTACGAACTGTGCTCTAAATTTTTTTTTGCTACTGTCGCCCTTTTTTTTACAAACTTCAGAAAATTTTTCAAAATTCTATACTTGATTCAGGAAGCAACTTCCATTGTACGGCTAGTGGCATACCGATGTCCACTTCGCTTACTTCTGGACCGATGTTATGATGTTCATCGACGACAATCTGAATTATTTCTTTGGTGAATTCCAAATACATGAAACAAATTTTGAGCGAGTAACCTTCATCTCAACTTGTGGCAAAGGTGCCTTCTGCTCGAGTTTTGTTGCTACCAAGTGAAGTCTGCAATGAATAATGAATTATTGGGAGAGTATTTTTCGTAACGCCCTACTCTTCCAATGCTTCCTCAATTCTCCTTGGCAAGGTTTGCTTATTATATTTGATTTTTTGATGTACACACTGAGCCATAAAGGACTGCAAAGTTGAAGTGCCGTCTTGCTGCTGGATGACTACCACTACCTGAATTTACCGTATAACTTACTTTTGATGGCTAAGACATTCATATTTTGCTGACCTGCATGTGATACTGGGCTCGATTATCATTCTGTTCACCGGCATTCCTCACACCGCATTCTGTGAATGGCAGGAAAACTCGTGGAGATACAGCATTGACGATGGAGTGGAAGCAGCTGGAAGTACTGGTTATGAAATCGGCATTTCGTGTAATGGGCAGAGCTCGGCATAAGAAGCAGGCTGGAACCTTTTTGGGGATAAAACAAAGGGGAAACCGCTTTCAGTAGTCCGGGAAGGGGCCCAAAAAATGCATGCATCACCACATTTTGGTGTACAAAAAATTGCCAACCGTTGCTTCAGAGTCTCAAAAGTAGAAAACATTTCAAGCGAACCTTCTTACCACGCAAGATAATCCAAAACTGATTTTGATATAAAATAAAAAAATTAATAAAACTTCGAGTAGTGAGCAAGGGCAACTTCACGCCCGTGAAACTAACACGTTTTTGCAGCCCTACCCCCTACAAGCGGACAGTGGCGTACCCAGGATTTCCGCTCGGGGGGGGGGGGGCGACAAAAAATTTTGGTACTTTTCCGTTATCCGGACCCATTTTTACAAAAGGCTCTTATAGAATATGTTTTTTAGTCTAGAAACAATGTTTCATAAATTTTAAGAGGACTGTCTCCCTGCCACGTGTCAGCGAAGATTTGACACGTTTCAGTCCATTTCGACATGTTTTTTTGAGATCATTTCCGGTGAGGTAAAAGAGCATTTGTGATCACCTAAAAGCTGTGCAACTCTTTTCTATAAGAGCAAAACAATCTAGAACCATTACTAGAACATCTTGGTCACTTCTAGCAATGATTTAAGATTGTCTTTCTCTTCAAACTTTAAGCATGCGAGTTTAGCCAAGAAAGACTATAAATGATGGCTTAAAGTACCTCACTGCTGCTTGTTCCGCCGCTTAGATGATGGAACCTTAGCGCACTTCCCTATTCTGGGCAAGTCTAATCTGTACATTAGTGACAGCATGACCACATTATTATGAAAATATTCATTTTTGATAGTGTTTAATTGAAAATGGGGCCATTATTGACTGAAAAACAAGTTGAACTTACGTTGCTGGATAGGGTAACCACAAACTCCTGGTAAAACTTGTTAAACATGTAGATGGCATGCCAATTTTTTAGACACGTGGCAAAAGGTTGACACTTCTTACTATGAAGTTAAGACCAGATTTAGTACAAGAAATGAAGCATTATCCTTCTTTGAAAAAATGGGTCCGGATAACGGAAAAGTACCAAAATTTTTTCTAATGAAGGTGCGTGGCGTTAGCCACGCACTCCGGCGGCTGGAAGGCGGGACTTCGTGACCTAATTAAGGCTGGGTAATGATCAGAGGGCACGCGCGTGGAGAGACGCAGACTGCGTCGCGGGCGCAAGCGGCCTTAATTAGTTACAAAGCCCCGCCTTCCAGCCGCCAAGCCAGTTGAATCAAAGATTTACGTTCCGTCTCCCTCCCCCCCCCCCCCCACAATTCTCTGCCCCTCTCTTATTCCACACCCGTCTTCAAGAGATGTCTCAGGTGCTCCTCATGCTTCACCGATTCTATTCTGTGCAAAACCAGCAATTTCCCGTTCTTTGTAAAAGCGCGACAAAATTTCCCCGAAATAAACAAAAAGCTTGTTCAAAGCGAGGAGGAAATGATACGACACCAAAATTGGTGTGTAGATGCGGGGTATAGTTGTAACTGTGTACAGAAATTATGAAAAATTGAAGTGAGAGCATAGCAAACTTTCTGAGTTAGGTGGTTTTAAACCACCTGAAAAGCCACCTGAGGTGCTTAGAGAAGAAAAGTCATAAATTTTCCTCCCTCACATAACGTTTTCAAATTTTCTTTTACATAACTTCAGTCTACATCCAAAACCCTACAAATAAGTTTCTAAACGTTCTCAAACCCCCTCCTCCCCGTCTAGTTACAGCCCTCTAAAAATTTTGTATGGCGGTTGCAATCCTGCTCCAATCGCACGATAGTGCGCGCCTGACACAGCATGCCACCAAGTTGTGTAATACGAACCTCAGTTGTATTTTTATCGTCGAATTGATGCTGTTTGCATGTGTTCTGTTCAAATCTTATTTATTACGCATATTATTCATGAGCGTTTCGTAGGGGATATCGCATTTTTTTTTGGCGAACTCTGCAGAGATTTCGTTTCCAAATAATGAAAAAAGAGATCTAGTGCCGAGCCCTGATAATGGGTTGGCAAACAAGTCTGGCCTCAAAATTTTTGAAAAAGTTTTTTCTTTAGTTCTTACGGTTTTGAAACCTATTTTATCCTACTGAGAAAACTTGGGTTGATAGACCACGTGTGTCTACAATACAGGGTGTCAGTAAAGTATGTATGCACTGTTTGATCGTTAATATCTCCGTTCCCAGGGGGTCTTTTGCCGAGCTTAAGCACCATACTGTAGAGCTGGCTTTAACTTAGATTTACAGTATAGAGCGAATCAGCGATCACTCACTGTTACTGTAGGATTACGGTAGAAACTTGAAACATATGGTGTCAATGTGGAAAAAGCTGTCGTTTCAAAATTTTTGAAAAAAATGTGAAAACTTGTGTAATAGGGTTTTTATGGACGCTGAGTTCAATACTCAACTATTCACAAGATTGCGAAGCTTTCTAAGCGGTGTAACCGCACTTTTTAGGAACATTGAAAAAATGGCCGCTACCTCTTACCTGGCATAACTCTTCAATGAAGCATCATAATAAGTTGGGAACTTCACACTTAGAATCAGCAACTCTAATTAGCCGAGTGTAAAAGTTTTCAGGCTGTTTGTTTCCTTCCTGAGGCAAAATATGGCCTTTCATGGCTCAAAACCCTCTTTGAAGTTCCAACCGTAATCCTACAGTAATGAGAGGAGTCCGGCGATTCGCTCCATATGTAAATCTAAGTTGAAGCCAGCTCTACAGTATGGTGCTTGAAGCTCGGCAAAAGACCTCCTGGGAACGGAGATATTAACGATCAAACAGTGCATACATACTTTACGGACACCCTGTATATGTAATATGTTTTGAGATTTTTCATTTTACAATACATATTAACTACTCGCAAGAAATTCTCTGATCTATATAACAGAATAAAAAATTCACTTTTTAGCAAAAGGCAAAAGCTAGTGATATATACCAAATTGTTTTTAACACTTTTGAGGCATGTTTCTTGTTTATTTTTCATGCAAACTCATACTTTCTGGGGTTACGACTCAGTAGCAGAATAATATAAAATAAAAAACATCATTTTTTGATCAATAAGTGTACAGAGGGTCCATTCCTTTCCATGTACCCTATTTTTCGCCACAAGAAGATTGCGAAGCATATCCGAAACATATTTATGGATCAATCACCCCATTTTCCAAGAATTTTTGCTATACAAAAACAAACAAACAAACAAAACAATCTTTGCTTTTTGCGTCCTTTTTTCAAGAAGAAAAGAACCAAAAATCGTGGAATCACACAAGTATTCAGCATCACTAAGTTTTTGTGTATCTGCACATTGCAGTGGAGTATAATTATGGATCTCACTGATTTGAATATTATGTGTAAGTTTTTGGTCCCATTTTATTGGACTTGTTTCTGGATTGACTTATAACTTAGTTTATGTATAATGTTGTCTTCCTATTACTTCTAACTTTATCCTTTCCTTTTCTCTTTTCTCTATTACTTGCTAACAATATCTAAGCCATCTTCATTATTGCGAAAACTGAATAGACTACTAATTAGACTACACAGTACTACTTTAATTTTAATCTTCATTACTTCTCTTTTTCTTTCTCTTTTCTTTCTTTTCCATTCTCACGATCTTCCTTCACTTCTGATGAGTTCAAGATCGTATTTCTATCTTTTTTCCATATAATGAAAAGAAACGAAACGGAAAATAGGGGTCTCTTTCACTTTTTTTTTGTTATTGCTCCGTGAAAGGAAAGAATTTTCCAGTCGAAAATACTAGCTTTTTTGTTTCAGATCCGTCAAAATTCCCTGTAATAAACTTTTAGTGCCACATAATTTCGCGAAAATGATTTTTCCTGCGTTTTTTTCTCTTTCAAATAAGGAAGGCCTTCTCGCGCCACCGTCACCGGCCTCTTTAGAGGTCACTCATAATTGTTCTCAAAGTGGTCATTTTCACTCTAGGCGCATATACGACTAGTCTCTTTCCAAGCATTAGAACCAGTCAAAAGTATAAATAAGTCGCTACCTTGGAATCCTTTTGCGGTCGCTTGCAAAAATCTCGCCGGTGAATGGAAACAGTGTAGTGACGCCGAATTCAATTCCATCTTCTTTGCAGATGACTTGAACTTTGCCTGGAATGGGTTAATTGAGGACTTCCTTGATTTTTTACAGGAGCGGGGAGAGGGGGGGGGGGGGGTTAGAAGGATGTGCTGTTTATTCTCACCTCGGACTCTGTTCAAGACCTTTCCGGGAGTAGTAACCTGCGCTGGCGTACTTGTAACCCCTTCCGCTGGAGGGGTTGGATAAGTTGGAGCTGGAGTGGGTCTTGTCGTAGGTGCAGCTGGCGGCCTAGTTTCTGTTCTGAAAAATAAATTAAATCATTATTTTTACATCAGCTGTTACAGAAAAGTTCTCACTTGGCCGGATAAGGCGGAGGTGGAGTGGGTCTTGTCGTAGGTGCAGCTGGTGGTGGTCCGGTTTCTGTCCTGAAGGTTACTAATTTTTAGACCTAAATTTACCAAAAAAATCCTCTTACTCGATTTCAGAATACTCAGTGGTAGCTTCCTCGCTTTCCTCACTACTGTCCTTTTCCGTGAAAAAACGCCATTTTTGCTTCGCACTTGTAGTAAGATCCGTTGCCCAATACGGTAAAGTAGGCTGAGTGCTAGCGGGAGTCTGGGTAGCTGTCGTAACCTCAAATGGAGCTCCCGTGGTGGGTCTGGGAGGACGAGTTGTTCTTGGAGTTGAAGGAGTTGCAGGCGGAACAGTTTTGTATGTGGGAGACCAAGGTTGCGGACCGGGTGGTGTGGAAGGACCTCCCTGCTCTGGCGGTTGGGTTTCGGTAACTTCCTCGGGAGCTTCGGGTACAGTATACGTGTCCGTGCTTTCTGTAGATCTTGCTGTAGTTTCGAATGGTGGCAAAGTGTTGGGTACCGAGGTCGAGGTCTAGAAATTGAAAAATAGGTAAGTTGAATTATAAGGTAGAAGTCTAAAAATCAAAAAATCGGTAACTTAGTCTAAAATTCAAGCCCTAAAGTCTACGAAAATCAGATTTTTGTAGGAAATACCAAGCTTTAGACTGGAAAAGCATTGTTACTAATATAAAATCCTTCAAAATATTGTGAACTGTCGCAGTCGGAGTATAAAACACTAGCACTGCTGTGTTATTTGCAACTTAATACATGTAATACACACCATGCGCTCTCTTTGACGAAGATTAAAATGCTTATTTTTAATGATTTCCTTTTTTCACTTTTTATCTGGTACGATATGTACCAGCCATCAGCTCAAATTTCCATAGTTTACTACGCTAGAAAGGTTTTACGGAGGACTGGTATTGATGTCGACGGTTGACGCGCATAGTGTGCAGATTCACAAAATGAGTCAGTTACTCGAGGATGTGTAATTCCTGCACAACAGTATGATATCAATGTGTAAATACACTATATTAACTAGACGCTATATGGTATAGTACCGTTATATCTCCAAAATGGGTGGAAGCTTTTGAGAATTATTTAGTCATTTTCACTCGTTATCAGGTAAGTGAAACTGAATCTATCAGCGGAAAAACGTCATTCCTGCAGTATTGTTATCATCAGAATATGGTAGATTACTGTAGTACCTAAAAAATGAGTGGATTTTTTTAGTGCAAGAAATACTAATAGAAATAGGTAGAATACGATTTTGTCAAGAAGAGCTGGTATCCCTTGCAGTAAAAATTTCTTTTATTAAGAATAGTCAGTTTAAAAATACTTGTAAAGTAGTAGTTAAGAATGTCCGGGTTGAAAAAAAATTATTTTTTGTCTTTGTTGGAGAAATTTATTTTTTACAAAACTTACCGGGCGGGTTATAACGTAAGGCGCTGTCGTAGCAGTCTCTGTGACATAATAAGCAGTCATTGGTGGAGGAGCAATAGTCTTTGCTGTAGGAGAGTAACTTGGAGGCTAAAAAAGGTTCACATTAAAGATAGGGTTTCTAGGAACAGTCTTCTTACGATAGTCGTTTCTTCTGTGATTTTCGCTGGTGGGACTAGCGTTGGTGGAGGTGGAGCGGGGAAATTCTGTGGAGGCATGAACACATGTGGTCCCGGAGGGATCTGAAAGATTTTTAGCTGTTTATAATATGCAGAATGCGTTAGTCAAGCTTGCCTCTGCACGGAATGGTATGGGTGTCGTTTCTCCTTTCTGGAATGGACCAAGAGTTTCCTAAAAAGATCAACAGATTGCCCTTCAAATCAAGCAAAATCAAAAAATTACATACTCTCGTACGGTAGCTGAGGTCTGGCACAAACTGTCGATTGTAGTAATCTGTTGAGCTAGGCGGTAAGGTGATTTCAGAAATTAGCTTCGGATTTGGAGGTTTATATCCAAGTCTGGCAGCATCACCCTGCAACATGTGCAATGTAAATAATTAACATATATTACAGAAGAAAATCAAAAATGGCCATTAATTGATTTGTATGCTTTGTAAATAATTTCTAACAAAGTCTTCTGCAAATGCAGTTGCAGAATTTATTGTTCATAATATTATAAATGCTAGTCATGTTTGGAATGCATTTTGCAAACAAAACTCAATAAAATCTTTTGAATTGGTATAAAAGATGCAGGCTGCAGATATTTAGTCTTTGTGTACATGAATTCCTTTGTTATAATCTTATAGTTTCTTACCTTCGCTGCATTTGATATCAAGAGTGTAGGACCTCTGCTACCGTCACCTTTGCCAGGAGTATACAAAGATACCTGTAAATAAAAATTGCAGTATGATTTCCAGTCAAGAGGTTTGAAGAATTCTAAAGAATGACTTTGTGTGTTGTGTCAAAAACCTTTCGCAAAACTTTCAGGTCGTCCAGTCAAATCAGATTCAAACGAAACGTTTTATTTGGTTTAATTTCACTTTTTTTTGTTTGCTATCCCTGAAAAGAGCTAATATGGTGTTTTTTTAGTTTATTGTCATTTTCAAGGTGATTCTCTTACTGCATAAAGATTCTCAACCCTAAAATACCTTGACCCCTTTTCCACCAACTCAACAAAAATTGGAGTACTTGTAAGCTTTCTCACCTTGTCTCCATCAATTCCGCACAAGGGTCCTGTGCATGTTCGATTGGGTTTCAAGAAGTTGACATCAATATGTTGGGTAAAGTCTTCGGGTAGATGACCGGGTGGTTGATATACCTGAATCATAATGTTAGATCATCTCCTTACTGAAAAAAAAATAAAAAGCCAATTTATTTTTTGCCTTTCTTCTTGCCATGAAATGACCCCCTGTAAGAACGGAATGAGTACAATGCAGGATAAAAATACTTTATAATAATGTATTATGTTGTCCCATAATTTTTTTCACATCTGATTTTTCACCAGCATAAGTCAGTTTTTCTTGTATTTCCTAATAGAATTCGGGGTATCATTCGACAGATTGAAGCAAGCTCTACAAGATGGCATTTGAAAGTTTGCACCGAGCTTGAACAGCATTGGATTTCAAACCAAAACCGAAAAACTTCCGAGTTCTCGAAAAAACGAAAACTATAATATTTCAGTACAAAACATCTCGGCAGATTTTCCACTTGCTCAAGCATGTACTCTTCTCACCAGATATTTGCATTTATATATTTCATTATATACATGCACTTGCTGCATTTTTTTTGATGGCCAAGAATTAACGAAAAAAATATAAGCTGATACTTTGCTTGTAACGGCTCTATATTCCTCGCGAATATGTGATTATATAGCTTATTCACTCAGAAATACTGCTACAAAGAGCCTTGTAGGTGCCCCAGTTCTTGAGAAATACCGTTTTGAAGGCTCAGATATGAAAAGAATTATGAGACAACCTAATAGAATCTTTTCTGATACTGTAGCTCAGAAAAACCCTGTAATATCTCAAAACTTCACCTCTTAATAACAAGACCCCTAGAAATTTTATGTCTGACCGCGCCACTCCAGTTCAAACTTTCTTAGGAAATGATTACGAAATCAATTTTATATCTTTAGCCAATATTTTCGGATTGGCGCGTGCTTTTGCCTGAGGATGGAAAAGTAGCCTCAAATCTGAACCATTTATTGATTTTTTTCTTTTACTCTTTACCTGTGTGCTAGCCGGTCTCGGAAAGTATTTTGTCTTTGTCTGCTCCGAATCACTTCTCGTTGTAGTCTGTGTAGAAGTGGTTCCTTCCTCAACGCCCTCATCTTCTGTATATTCTTCAGAACCTTCTTCTGACGAAGACGTTTTGCCTGGTGGAGCTGTCAGTCCTTCTGTATTCTCCACATCCTTCGTCACTCCTTCAACATATTTGCCATCTGAGGATGGCCCTGCTTTTGTCGTAGGAGTGGAAGTCGAAGTCTCCTTGAATGGGTTTTCCGTCATTGCGAAAACTGACTGAGTAGTTAGGATAGTTCTATCAACAGCCACATCTGCTTTAGTTGTGGGTACTCCTTCAGCGGTAGGCTTTTCCGGGGTTGCACTGGTCGGGTTATACCAACCACGGGTAGAGTGAGTCTCGAAAAGATCTGTCACTGGGCTGATAACACTTTTCGTGGTGTATATCTCCGGATTTGGCGCTGGTTGTGTAGGAATGGTACCTAGAAAGAATTATAAAAGTCATCCCAAATCTTGAAAATTGTAGAATTTTAACGTACCCTTGTAGTTCTGCGGATTTACCGAAGGTATCATTGGTTCCTTAGTAGAAATTGTGCTAGTCATAGGACCATAAGCTCCCTGAGGAGGGATGGGACTTGCTCCTTGGACATAGGGGTTCGCATTCGGTGGAAGGAACCATTGCTGAGTGGGACCATTCAAAGGATTGGGAATGAAGTTTTGCACTCGATTGGGATAGAATGGTTGAGGTTGAAATCCGTTCACTGAAAGGGGATTTTTTCGAGTTGGAATAAATCCTACAATAGGCTTTTTCTTACCTTGACCTGGAGGGCGAAAATTCTGGAAAAATTGATTGGGCACGAAAGGTAGGCGATTTGGGGTGAACTGAGTCTGAGGCACAAAATTAGAAACGAAAGCATTGGGTGCGTTTGGGACAAAAGGTTTGGGAGGGCGATAGTCCGGGATTTTGAAGTCTTCAGTTCTTGTATAGTAAGGTACCGGCTTTTGATCGGATCTGGAAAACAATGATTTAGCTTGTAACAGAAAGTTGAAAATTACAATTGTTGTATGAAGAATTCGCTTTATTATTCCAGAAATTCGAGTCTTGATTTCAAACGTCTGATTTTTATTTCCAAAAAATTTTCATGAAAGATCTAGGTATTGGCCAAGAATCGCCTTGTTTTCTTCTACTTCTTTTCTTTTTATACATGGATAAGAAGTCGTCTAATTTGCTTTCTCAAGAATCTTTTGAAAATCTGAATTTTAGCCAAGAAGTCGTTCCTCTCAGATTTATTTGATTCAAAATTTTCTACTGAAAATTTTTTGTTCCAAAATCTGAATATTAATCAAAAAAATCCTTACCCATCTTGCGGAACAGAGTTTGAAGCTCGATGAGTACGAGACGTAGCATTCTTCCCTACGTTAGTTACTGGAGTGCGCCAAACGGGTTTTACAGTAACGGCTACAGATACAATCGATAAAATCAATAAAATCGATCTAGTAGAAAGTGGATTTATGGACGGTTGAAGCATTGTGAAGAATGCGGGCTAGTACCGCCCCTCTTGTAGAAAAGGAGGAGAACGAGCTCGGGAAGTGAAGACAACTAGATGACTGGACAAGATTACGGGAACGACGACGCGTTTAGCGGATCACACAGACGTCGAAATTCGCTGCGATTTCGATAAGTGGTCCTGGGAAAGTTTTTAGAACAGCGAAGAGGGATTCATCAAGAAAGCCAAATGAAAGCAAAAACGGATCTTTACTCAATCCTTGAATTTGTACATCTTTAGAGAAGACCTTAGCATCTCTCGAGGGATACACTCAAGATTACTCACTTACTAATTTCTCATTTGAATTATAGAGGAAGACCATCTTTGAAGGCAACATCGAGGTTGCTGAGAATACTGTATCCTATAAGAGAAGTAACTCAAAGTGGGTTCTGAGAAAAATTTTGCTATTGCGAGAGTTCTGCCCATAAAGTCGTTGAAGCTCCAAATGAAGTTTCGTGAGAAATTTTCTGTATAAAACAGCTTGTCCTTGCTCAAATAACCATATTTTACTTTTTCTCTGATGTAAAATGTTGAAGGATCACTTATCATATGAACATGTAGCTAGCACTACTAGTAAAAAGGTCAAGAACTTCTTGTTCTCTTTTTTTGTGAATTTCTCTTCCATCTTTTCCCCTTTCCTTTATCTCGTTTCCTTAGATCGTGATAGTTCACAAAGCATAGGAGAGAAGACCTTAGCGTCCCTCGAAGGATACATTATTCCTTTGACCACTCTAATTTGTGCAAACATCTAGATCTTTTATCAACTGTTTTTTTTAATGATTCGTATGATCTTGATTATTTTAACGACGATATTGCGCTGTCTAGATAATTTAAATGAATACTCAAATTCGAGATATGTAGAAATACAGGGTGTCCCAAAAAATGTATCGAACGTTTGATCGTTAATATCTCTCTTCCCAAAAAGTCTTTTGCCTTGCTTCAAGTACCGTTTTGTAGAGCTGGCTTCAACTTAGATTTGCATCATAGAACGAATTACCCATCTCTCTTCACTACTGTAGGATTACGGTAGAAACTTGAAACATATGGTGCCAATGTGGAAAAAGCCGCCGTTTCAAAATGTTTCAAAAAAATGTGAAAACTTGTGTAATAGGGTTTTTATGGACGCTTAGTTTAATACTCAACTATCCACGAGATTAGAAGCCTTCTAAACGGTGTAACCGCATTTTTTAGGAACATTGAAAAAATGGCCGCTACCTCTTACCTGGCATAACTCTTCAATGAAGCATCATAATAAGTTGGGAACTTTACAGTTATATCAGCAACTCTAATTAGCCCAGTGTAAAAGTTTTGAGGCTGTTTTGTTTCCTTTCTGAGGCAAAATATGGCCTTTCATTGCTTAAAAACCTCTTTGAAGTTTCTACCGTAATCCTACAGTAATGAAGAGAGATGGATAATTCGTTCTATGATGCAAATCTAAGTTGAAGCCAGCTCTACAAAACGGTACTTGAAGCAAGGCAAAGGACTTCTTGGGAAGAGAGATATTAACGACCAAACGTTCGATACATTTTTTTGGGACACCCTGTATGTTTGATGTAAGGAGAGACTAAAGGGAAGGAATTTCATAGTTTTTTCAAACTCCTATGCTTCTTCCTTACTTCTAGATCGGAGAAGATCACTCCAGTCTGACTTTTCTACAGCGAAATTATCCAAATTAATACTATTGGACAGATTCTTTTTTTTCATAAATGAAATTACCTTTCATAAAGACACATTGAGAGCCAGCCGCTTTTTTCCCAGTATTTTCTTACCAGCTTATTTATCAAAGTATCGTGATATCAGCTGTTAGCTAATAACTTCCACAATGCACATGCTAAGGGAAGAGGGAAAAACCGGATTGCTAATGTGCGTTACTAATAGGGCCATTTTAGAGCTGTTGCGCAAGCAGTGTGCATGGGTAGAGAAGCCTTGACACGCTATGAGTTACTCTAGGATTATTACTGAAAAAGTTTTGGTGCATAAAGGGTCCCACAAAAACAGATCGTTATTTAAGACCTAAGTAATTCGTTTTTAACCATTTGGCACGTAGGAAGGTGTTATGACTTTTGTTGTGTTTTTCAGTATGTTGGGTTGAAACTACTTTTCTTCAGCAGGCATTCAAAGTATCCAAAAATGTATCACTCATCAAGAACTTGACGAATGTTAAATAAATCGCATTACCTATGCAGATGTACTTTAAGAGTGGACGATTATTTATGTAGAAGCAGCATTATTTATTCACTAATTTGTCCTTGGAAAAAGCGTTTACTAAGGTTTTATATTGCCATTCATTTTATTTCATAGATGCCGCATACACTTTGCATTTGAAGTTATGTTAAAGTCGCACATGAGTTGTTTATACTTTCTAAAGTAATGTCTATAATTTTTAAAACACTTCATTTTCTGCAAAAAGAGGCTTTGCTTGGAGCTCTGACCTATTTTCATGATAGATTACTCTAGTCCAATGCGATTTTCATAAAAATAATTTTCCTGTGTTCCTGCCTCACGAACACAGGAAGTGTCCTATTTTCAAGCCGGTGAGCTAAAAGGCTCGTTTTTTCTTTCGTATGCACAAAGGTAGAGATTTTTTATTTGCACACATGAATTCCGGGTCTTTGTCGGTTCACCATCACTAAGTGCTTTTTAGTTCGTTGACGACTTTCAGTTACACTATCGCTCGCATTTGAGAGCTTTTTCCGCGGGTTTTTTATTTGAAAATTTTTAAAACCATTTCTATCTCTCTTGGAAATAGTATGCCTATCAATCCAGAAGTTTTTGTCGATTTCCGCTTAAACCAGGTCAACGAGGCTGTCGGCGGATCAGATATTGTTGAAAATGGCGAAGCATTCTTCCGAAATTTAGATGGATATCTCCAGGACTCGCGCTCAAGCGCTGCGAAATCCTCGCGATTCTTTCGGGTTATTCAACGGTCCTTGATCTTATATTAAGCGTAGAATATTCAGCATTATTACTATATAGACTGCTAAACGTCTTGGGTATTTCAATTCAGCGCTGACGAAGACTTTTTCGCATACTTTTTTTCCAAAATTCTATGCATAGATGCCTAATTTGGCGCTAGTCTTCATTGTGATGAATGTTATCGAGATGGAAAAGGAAGCCGGTGGAAAACAAATGACAATTGACGATGTCTGCAAAAGAACGATGCTGCCAGTCAGTCGACTGAAGAGCCACATCTATTCTGCAGCTCATTGCCTTCTACTGGAAAATGAGCTCATTTCTCTAGCTGAAGAAAGACCAATCTTGGAAGCAGCGCATTTCTCCTGCATTCCCACACTTTCGCCTCTTCACACGATGTGCCCTGGTGACTGGGGATAGAGCTTGGATTTCAATTTGAGTTCACACATCTCCCATTTCAACCTATTCTATGGTCCAGCATAGTCCTCTGCTGAGAAAAGCTCTTGCGCAGTTTGTTTGTGACAAGCCCTACTGAGAAGCATTGACTTTTCTCAACTTAGTTTTAGTGAAAGGATTCAGAAAAAGTGAAATCATCTTGGTTTAATTCATTCGCAGATGAGTAGCACGCTTTTTGCTTTTGTCAACTTTTTTCTGTTTTCTGGTTTGATCTGAGACAAAGTTTTCTCTTACAAACTATACTTCCAACCCCTGATGGATGAAATAAAATGAACCAAGCAAATTTGGAATGAAGTTTCTAAGTAAAGGTGTTTCTCTACTTACACAAGCTTTTTTGTGAGTCCTAGGTCTTTCCCAGAACCTCTCAGTAAGGATGAAGACCTGGAATCATGTCTACTATTTCTTATTCCGGAAGGTTTATAACGTTCACTAGTAAGGCTTGTAACGTTTTTATTATCTTATTGTATAGAATGGGAAAATATTGCTGATTTTCTCAAAATTCACCCCAATCATGCTTTCGATGAACTGGAGGATAACTTTGCATGGAACCGAGAAATGTTCAGTATTCTTCTAGTGACACATTCACTGTCATTTTACAAACGATTAGCATGCTGAATATGCTTGCCAAAAGTTTGATGAGCACAGACAGCAAAAATAAAAGAAGGTTTACTTGCAGTTTCAAGGTTAAGGCTAATAAAGACTGCGAGTCGTTTTCTACACTCTTAAAAGGTGCAAAAAAAGTTCAAAATAAAGATTCGTATATATATACTAACATTAATATTAGATTGTCCGGAAATTAATGCCCGTTTTGAATTTCAACCACATTAAGTCATGCACTTCTCACTTTTGGATAGGTTGCAAAGTACCTTTCGATAGAGCAAAGCAAGTTCTACAAGATGGCTATTTTGCTTCAGCAATAGCTCTGATGTTACACGAGTTTCGAGCCAAAGACTAAAAAGACCCAACTACCCAAAAAATTGAAAAAAATCGTAACTCAGTTCATAAAAATCCTACAAAAATTCTAACTTGCTCACGTAAACACTATCCACATAAAACATCTATACACGCCTTTGCCGTATTTCTTCCTCTGTTAGAATTCAAGAAATCAGAAATTTTCGTGCTTTTGCCAAAGTGGTGTTGTGCAGTTCCCACATAGGTAGTTGTATACTACAAACCTGTAAAAGTACAAACGTAAATTCTCAGCTCTCTACAAGCTTTAGTTCTCGAGAAATTTGAATTTTAGTTTGGGCCAGCTAACCAGGGAAAGCTATGTTCGGTTTTTCTCGAGAACTAAAGCTTGTAGAGAGCTGAAAATTCAAGTCTGTACTTCTACAGGCTTGTGGTATACAACTACCTATATGGGAACTGCACAACATCACTTTGGCAAATGCACGAAAAATTCCGTTTTCTTGATTCCTAACAGAAGAAAAAATACGGCAAAGGCGTATATAGATGTTTTATGTAAACAGTGTTTACGTGAGCAAGTAAGAATTTTCGTAGGATTTTTATGAACCGAGTTACGATTTTTTTTCCGATTTTTCGGGCTCCTGACTCTTTTTAGTTTTTGGCTCAAAACTCGAGGTGAATGAGAGCTGTTGCAAAAACAAGATGGT